ACTATTCATATTCTAATACCATGTTTCCACTGCTTACTTAGTAAGTTACTTAAGTAAGTTTAAGATTTTGTCGTTTCCATTGACATAAGTTACTTATTGCAAGTGAAAGTGCTTTTATGTGTCAGAAAGTTTTCTGAAAGTTCTAAGAGAGCTTCTGGTTGTTTAAGTAAATTTCACTTAATAATATATTGCACAAAAAATTAAATATATAATGGATATGTTACATCATTAATATACATATATATTATTATTATTATCCATTACATATTCAATTAATAAAAACATACATTTTATTAAATATTCATTTTCTTAGTACGTTGGTTTACAGCTCAGCTGTTGTCTACATTTTACATATAAAACATATGACAAATACTTTAAATTTCGATCATTTCCCTTGTGGGAAATTTATTTTTAAGGGTTGCATTCTTTGTCTAATTTTCCTTACTTATTTCTAAGTAAGTTAAAAAGCATGAGATCTCTTTGTATGGTGATTGAAATTTACTTAATAAGTCACACTTAGTAAGTAACCAGTGGAAACGTACTATTACTCATACAAGGTTCTTTTATAATATGTTGATCTGATGTTTATTTTTAAATAATTCCGTGCAAATAGATTTTAAAATTTCTTTTTTTTGTAGTAAGTTGGTACTAATGTAATATATTACGATGCTTACTTTAACAGTGATGTGTCGATTAATGTAGTTCAGTCGATTTTGTTAGTTTACTTGAAATACATTCTGCTAATTTTGCTATTGACAATTCATTGAAACAAAGAATTTGCATTAATTTTTGTGCTGCAAATGGAATTTCCTGTGTTGAGTCACTGATATTGTTGAATAAGACTAATGATGACTCTGTTTTATAAAAAAACATAAGTACAGGAGTGCCACAAAATATTTTTGAAGATGGTACAATAACTCTTCTGCTTGAAAGAATCAGCTAGGAAACTAAATATGTCTCACCAATCAGTTCAACAAATTTCAGTTGACTTTTCACGTATTAAACCCATACCAGTAAGGCTTGTTCCAAAAGAACTGAATTTTATTGCAAAAACAGTATCGGAATATATGACTAAAGAGATAGTAGTAAAGTAGTGATCTCACATTATCATAACCGCTGTAAAGACATAGGTGTACGAATACGAGACACTAGGAAATCACTAATCATCGGAATTGAGATCTGAAAGTTAGACCAAACCTCCAAAAACCATAGCATTTTCAATTCTTAGCAGAAGATCAAAGAGTTATAAAACAAATATATTGATCTATATATATTGACTATGATCTATATATAATCTATATTTTGAATATGCGAAAGATTACAGCAGGTAATATATGGTTCCAACTCTGTATCTCGTTCTATATCGTTATAAATTGAATATAAGCACCTCTAGTCTTATTGATTCTGGAAGTAACAACTGCCCTTGCTCCGCTTTTATTAGTTGTAATGGTTCTGAGGTGTGTTTTAAGTTCGTCATACCTTGGCTTCCCAACAAATGGAGGAGAAAAATAATTTTACAATTATTTAAACATTATAGACATAAAAATTTAGTGTTTAAAATTCAAAAAAATATGAAATGGAACTTATCTAGTCATTTAAAATTATTTGCCCAACTACTAATATTGTAACATAGGTAAGTAAATTAGGTTAAGTTAAAGTGAAGCCTAGTAGACTTTAGTGAAGTAAACACAAATAAAGACCAGTTGTGGCATTTAAGATAATCATTGTTCATACGCCAAAGAAGAGTGTCATCAAAACAAGTATAAAGATCGAAGTAATTAGTGTATGAACAACGTTGAAGAATCAAAGAAACGATTATTCAATGAGTGAAAGTGGTTATGTCCCTAATTTTAGAAAAAGATAGGTTTAATCATCTCCAACAAAGGAAAGGATTTTCAAAGATTTTTAATGGACATAAAAACATTAGTTAAAAAATCGGAGGAAAGATTCCTCCTCTTCTGCAGAACCTAGATTCTGTGAATTAGGAAAGCAAAAAGTAAGTGAAGTATCAGTTTTTTTTTTTTTTGTTTTTTTTTTAAACTTCATTTTATTAAATACAATCTATTCTATTCATGAATAATAAGTACTACTTATGGCAATAACAATATATGATTGGCATGTACAGGACTACCCAGTGGTAATCACCGCCTTATGAAGAATTACAATTTTTAGAATCTGCTCGGCAAATCCGAAGTTGCATAGCGTATTAATCTACGAATATTAAAAGCATCCCTCGTTAGGCCTGCGGCAAGGGTGTTAGGATGAACTACCAGTCGTGAGTGATAGTTGCTGCTTATCTGCTGTATTGACTCGTACACAGTAGGGATGCCAAGATCATGATGTAGGACGTTATTCGGGATAAACCATGGGGCGTTGGCGCAGATACGTAGTATTTTTGATTGAAACCTCTGAATCATATCTAGGTTTGACTTCGCTGCTATACCCCAGATGGGTATACCGTACGTCCAGATTGGCTTTAAGACGACCTTGTATAAAAGTATTTTATTTTGTAGCGATTATTTGGATTTGGGATTAAGTAGCCAGTAAAGTGAGCGTAGCTTTAGTCCTAACTGCTTCCGTTTTGTAAAGATGTGGTGACGCCAATTTAGACGGCGATCAAAATGTACACCTAGATATTTGGCGTTTTCAGCTTGCGGCAATTCACGGCCATTCAGTCTAACGGAACGGCAGGTACCGTGGCGGAGTGTAAAAGTAGTTTGAACTGATTTGTTATCGTTAGCTTCAATGTGCCAAATGTCTAGCCATGCGTTGACATCGTTCAGATTACTTTGCAAAAGTTGTGAAGCTACTACAGGATCTGCGTGTTTCGCCATCACTACAGTATCATCCGCAAATGTTGCAGTGTATGTTTTATCGCTGAGTGGGAGATCTGCTGTGAACAGAGTATATAGAGTAGGACCCAACACACTTCCTTGGGGAACTCCAGCCTCTATTTGAAAAAGTTCAGTGTGACAGCTATTCATTTTAACCATAAAGTGCCGATCCAGTATATATGATTTTAAGACGGAGAAGTAGCTATGCGGGAGTTGTAACTTTAATTTGTAGAGAAGTCCAGTGTGCCATACTTTATCGAATGCTTGTGTTATGTCGATAAAAGCTGCTGTGCAGTATTCTTTATTTTCCAATGCAAGTCTTGCAAAGTTGTATACTCTATTTACTTGTTCAATGGTAGAGTGATGTTCGCGAAACCCGAATTGGTGGTTGGGAATCAGACATCTATTTTCGATAACTGGCTTTAGACGTTTTAGGAATACTCTCTCAAATACTTTTGACAACACAGGAAGTAAGCTGATCGGTCTGTAAGATGTTGCAAGTTCGACGGGCTTACCGGGTTTTGGAATTAATATAATTTGAGCGACTTTCCATTGAGCTGGGTAGTGTTCACAGGTGCAAATTGCATTGAACAATTGGTTTATGAATTTAAAACCCACATCTGGTAGCTCATGTAGCACCTTTCCGGTTATCAGATCATATCCTGGAGCTTTTCTGGTTTTAATTTTGTTTTTTATGACCCACTTTAATTCACGAGTCAATGACCTAGGAATAGGAAAGTCTAATTGATGCGGTGTGTGAAGAAGTATCAGTGATTAAAAAATTTTGAAATGGATAAGTTAACAACTCGGTTGAGAAGATTTTAGTCTGATGTGTAAAAAAAAACAAAAAGAAGGATTAAAAAAAGGAAGAAAACAAAGAATGATTAAGAAACGAAAACATTAGAATAATTATTAAAGGAAAAAAAAGAATGATAGAAAAGGGAAAAAGAAAAAAAGAATGATAGAAAAAGGAAAAACAAAAAAGAAGAATGATAGAAAAAGGAAAAAGAAAAAAAATAACGATAGAAAAAGGAAAAAGAAACAAAAAGAATGATAGAAAAAGGAAAAAAGAAAAAAAATAAAGACAGAAAAAGCAAAAAAAAAGAATGATAGAAAAAAGAAAAAAAAATAATAAAGTGGTTTTTTCGAACAGTAGTGAACTACAACAACAAAAATTCATTTTATATTATTTTAAATAAATGAATTTTTGCCTGACCATACAGCTGTTTCGAGTATTGCCAAATACCCCATCATCAATGGTCTCGGAAATAATTCTTATATTTAATTATTCGTAAATAATCTTTTTTGTTTTTGAGACTGCAAGTGTCAGGAATCGAACTCGGGTTCCGTACTTGATTTTTTATGTTCGCACATTTTTCTGGAGTTTTGTTAATTTGTTGTGAAAGTTTTATTAACAAATTTTACTGTTGTGTTTTTTTTATTAGAACGAAAAAAAAAGAATGATAAAAATAGGAAAAATAAAAAAAAAATGACAGAAAAAGGAAAAAGAAAAAAAAAAGAATTATAGAAAAAGGGGGAAAAAATAACAGTAAAAAAGACAAAAAAAATTAATAATTATAAAAAAGGGAAAAAGTAAATAACAATAAAAACAAATAGAAAAGGAAATAACAAGCAAAAAGAAAATAAGGAAAAAAATAAAAGAAAAGAAAAAAAGGAAAAACAAATTTTTTTTTATATTTAACTAAAATACAATTTATAAAGCAACTAATTAAAATCTCTTTTTTCTATTTACTTTAGAGTATCACTTATTCTGTTGATATTCATAAAGATATGTTAGGATTTGGCGGCGGCAAGTTTAGAATTATTTGTTGTTTATCAAAGTTTGGCAAGGTTTCTGCTAAAGCCTGTTCTGCGAACTTCATTAGGAAATTGTTCTAGAAATGTAATTGTTTTTGGCTTTTATAAAATATATTTGATTCAATACTATTTCTCTTTATTGTTTCTTCTATCGCCTTTTCTACACTCTTGTATGCATTCAAAGTTT